ACCTAAAATTTAGTACATCAAAACCCTAAATCTCCCTGGTTTCAACCACCACAAACTATGAGCCACCAAGAGGCACAGACTGCATTTGGTCTGCTGGAAACTAATCACCTGCTCCTAACCAGGGTTCCCCAAATATTTTAAGTATAAATATGCCTTGGTTACTTGGTTATATAAATATGCCAGCATTTCCACAACTCTGAAGGTTTAAAGAAACAAACAAATACAACAGACCACCTTACATCTTTCCTAGAGTTCTGACAGGATGACCATAAACAGGTATGATTTTTAAATCCCACACCGGAATTAATAACATACAGTGGGTGTGAACCCTACCAGGACAGGGACAGTCTTGGTTCAATCACAGAGGTCGTCACCCTCTCTGATCTCACCTAGGCTGGGCATGAGACACCCTAGCAAGGATGTGGATTTTAACTTGGTGAGCTTCTTCTCTTAGGAATGTTTGTGCCATAAGATATAAGGCTGTTTCCAGTTAAAACCTGTTCAGCTTTCAAGACAAAAACAAGGAGGGTCACCAGCAAGGGTCTATGAGCACAGCTATCCATTCTACATCAAATAAGCCCTGCCTCACATTAATTTTTAATACCTAAATAGATGAAAATGTCAACGAGCCCAGTGCTAAAAATTCCCACCAATAACCATTTCTTAGAGTGGAGTCAGATATCCATCTCTTGTAAAATGCAAAGGTGTTATCTGACTGACATCTTAATCACACAATACTTTTACGTCTAGATGTGGCTCAGACAGTAAAGAATCTGCCTGCAGTGCAGGAGACAGTAAACAATCTGCCTGCCTGACCTCTGGGTTGGGAAGATCCCCTGGAGAAGGGAATGGCTACCCACTCCAGTATTCTTGCCTGGAGAATTCCGTGGAGAGAGAGGCCTGGCAGGCTACAGTCCATGGGTTTGCAAAGAGTTGGACACAACTGAGCAACTAATTTTTAAAGGGCTTCCCTGGTGGCGCAGACACTAAAGAATCTGCCTGCAGTGCAGCAGACCGGGGTTCAATCCCTGGGTCAGGAAGATCCCCTGGAGAAGGGAATGGCTACCCCTCCAGTATTATTGTTGGGAGAATCCCATGGACAGAGGAGCCAGGCATCCTGCAGTCCACAGCACTGCAAAGAGTCAGACATGACTGAGAAACCAACATGTTCACTTTCACTTTTTTCAAGCTTCAGATTCTGATGGAATGGAACACATGATAGTCAGTCTGATGAAGGAAGACAATGAACAAGTCCAGGATCCCAGGTAACCAGGAAGACCAAGGCAAGATAAGATATAACATATGGAGTATAAGACAGGGGATTATTTGCTTGAGCCAGCTCTTCTGAAAAAGATGAAATCCACAGGTAGGCACACTACTACCCTGTTATCCATGTTTCCTCCGCGTCACTGAGGTGTTAGTTGTGATGATAAATAACAGTTGAGATCCTGAGGAGGTACCAAAGGAATGGCTCTAATCTTAGGTTCAGGCTGGCGAGGGGAGTGGTGTTAGGTACACAGGACAACTTAAGGCAGTCACTTTCACAGCTCTACTAAATACAGTGTAATGCCCACTCCATTTTCATCTTCCCCATAAACACACATACTAATGCAATACATTACCCACAAAAGATTAACATGTGCTTTTCTAAAAGTGAAACTAAAGGTCTCATAACTTAGGCCTTTTATAAGATGCTGTGCATAGTCAAGCACAAACCAAGTCACACCCTAAAAGAAGAGCCCATAATTTTGCATGACATCACTATGCAACTTGTAAACAGGCGCACCTCATCTCACCACACTTGGCAGATAATTATTATTATTTTTATTTTTACAAACTGAAAGTTTGTGGTAACCCTGGGTCCAGTAAGTCTACTAGCACCATTTTTCCCTCAGAAGTTGAGCATTTATTCAACTTCTGTCCCTGTGTCACGTTCTGTTAATCCTCAAAATAGTTCAAACTTTTAAAAACATTTTTATTGGAGGATAGTTGATTTACAATGTTGTGTTAGTTTCAGGTGTAGAGCAAAGAGAATCAGTTACATGTATACATCTAGCCACTCTCTTTTTTTTTAAGATTCTTTTTTTTGTTTTGTTTTGTTTTTATTTTTTTTATTTTTTATTTTTTTCCATTTATTTTTATTAATTGGAGGCTAATTACTTTACAATATTGTAGTGGTTTTTGTCATACATTGACATGAATTAGCCATGGGTTTACATGTATTCCCCATCCCAATCCCCCCTCCCACCTGATCCCTCTGGATCTTCCCAGTGCACCAGCCCTGAGCACTTGTCTCATGCATCCAACCTGGACTGGTGATCTGTTTCACCCTAGATAATATACATGTTTCAATGCTGTTCTCTCGAAATATCCCACCCTCGCCTTCCCCCACAGAGTCCAAAAGTCTGTTCTGTACATCTGTGTGTCTTTTTCTGTTTTGCATATAGGGTTATCATTACCATCTTTCTAAATTCCATATATATGTGTTAGTATACTGTATTGGTCTTTATCTTTCTGGCTTACTTCACTCTGTATAATGGCTCCAGTTTCATCCATCTCATTAGACCTGATTCAAATGAATTCTTTTTAATGGCTGAGTAATATTCCATGGTGTATATGTACCACAGCTTCCTTATCCATTCGTCTGTTGATGGGCATCTAGGTTGCTTCCATGTCCTGACTATTATAAACAGTGCTGCGATGAACATTGGGGTGCATGTGTCTCTTTCAGATCTGGTTTCCTTGGTGTGTATGCCCAGAAGTGGGATTGCTGGGTCATATGGCAGTTCTATTTCCAGTTTTTTAAGGAATCTCCACACTGTTCTCCATAGCAGCTGTACTAGTTTGCATTCCCACCAACAGTGTAAGAGGGTTCCCTTTTCTCCACACCCTCTCCAGCATTTATTGCTTGTAGACTTTTGGATAGCAGCCATCCTGACTGGCGTGTAATGGTACCTCATTGTGGTTTTGATTTGCATTTCTCTGATAATGAGTGATGTTGAGCATCTTTTCATGTGTTTGTTAGCCATCTGTATGTCTTCTTTGGAGAAATGTCTGTTTAGTTCTTTGGCCCATTTTTTGATTGGGTCATTTATTTTTCTGGAATTGAGCTTCAGGAGTTGCTTGTATATTTTTGAGATTAATCCTTTGTCTGTTGCTTCATTTGCTATTATTTTCTCCCAATCTGAGGGCTGTCTTTTCACCTTGCTTATAGTTTCCTTTGTTGTGCAAAAGCTTTTAAGTTTCATTAGGTCCCATTTGTTTATTTTTGCTTTTATTTCCAATATTCTGGGAGGTGGGTCATGGAGGATCCTGCTGTGATTTATGTCAGAGAGTGTTTTGCCTATGTTCTCCTCTAGGAGTTTTATAGTTTCTGGTCTTACATTTAGATCTTTAATCCATTTTGAGTTTATTTTTGTGTATGGTGTTAGAAAGTGTTCTAGTTTCATTCTTTTACAAGTGGTTGACCAGTTTTCCCAGCACCACTTGTTAAAGAGGTTGTCTTTTTTCCATTGTATATCCTTGCCTCCTTTGTCGAAGATAAGGTGTCCATAGGTTCGTGGATTTATCTCTGGGCTTTCTATTCTGTTCCACTGATCTATATTTCTGTCTTTGTGCCAGTACCATACTGTCTTGATGACTGTGGCTTTGTAGTATAGTCTGAAGTCAGGCAGGTTGATTCCTCCAGTTCCATTCTTCTTTCTCAAGATTACTTTGGCTATTCGAGGTTTTTTGTATTTCCATACAAATTGTGAAATTATTTGTTCTAGTTCTGTGAAAAATAGCATTGGTAGCTTGATATGGATTGCATTGAATCTATAGATTGCTTTGGGTAATATAGCTATTTTGACAATATTGATTCTTCCAATCCATGAACATGGTATATTTCTCCATCTGTTTGTGTCCTCTGATTTCTTCCAGATTCTTTCCTCATTTGGTCATTACAGAGCATTGAGGAGAGTTCCCTGTGCTATACAGCAGGTCCATATTAGTTATCTGTTTTATATAGAGTCATGTATATATGTCAATCCCGATCTCCGAATTTACTACCCACTCCCCCACATTATTATTACATTTCTTACAGTGGTCAGTAATCTCTGATATTACCATTGCAAATGGATTGTGACTTGCTGAAGGCTCAGATGATAGCTCACATTATCTTTGCAACAGGTATTTTTAAATCAAGTTATGTACATTGGTTTTTGTTTTTTAAGATATAATGCCATTGAAAACATAATAGACTACATATAATAGACATAGTATTAACATAACTTCTATGTGCACTGGGAAACCAAAAAAAAAAAAAAGTGTGATTTGCTTTATTGCATTAATTGCTTTACTGTGATGGTCTGGAACTAAACCCATCATATCTGTCAGGTAAGTCTATAGAGAGAATCATTATAATGGCAGTATCTTCATCTCCTGATAAGTAAATTAGCCTCCAGGAGACTGTAAAAATATTTTTATATCAGTATTCATAAGATGCGGGGCAAAAATAGAATCAGAGTGCAAGAAAAAAAAAATCTGGTGCCTCTCACCAAGAAAATGAGGCAAAAACACACTTTAATATGAAATTGTGCCCTCTAGTTTCTGCATTTTGAATGTTAGTTGTGTCATAAAATCTAATGTGAATAGATCTATGTACTGAATTGAGGTGCAAACGCAAAAATAATTCTTACTATAAGTCACTGAGTAGATGCAGAACAGATGCAAATAACACAGGTTGGAACACTGCTATATAAAAATCACCTCATTTCTCTTAATATAAGACATTAAAAGTATTCAAAAGACACAGAACATGCACCAGCTAAACTTCTTGTCTTGCCCAGTGCTTTTCTCTGTTGAGTCATTCACATTCTAATATGAGGTCTCCTGGACTCCTAAGATACTGTTTATTTTCCTTCCACCTGCCCAACTTCCCCTAGTAAATCTGGGGTGAGAGGTTATACAAGAGGCTGGTACCCTCAGGAAAGACTCTTAAGAAAAAAGAAGAAACTTACCACTTCCGGGAGCAGCTTAGTCGAGAGGTCATGGATGGCTTTGACCACTATACACACAGATGACAGAAGGAATATCACCCCCAAGATGACACAGGCTCTGCAAAGCAGCAGAACATTGGGAATCAATGGGGAGAGCTCCATCTTGCCAGCTCACACAGTGGCAGTGACAACGACACAACCCAAGGCCCTGGGACCCACCATAAGGTGCCGTCCCCCCACCATGCCCACCCACAGCATCAGCATGAATACTGAATCATTTCTAGAACACAGTTCAGTGATTTATCATCAAAATCAGCCCCACAGGAAAGGGTCTCACCATCCTACATGACCAAAAGCATCCCATGAATGCTGGTATAGCAGGGTCTTCAAGGCCATGAAACCCATTCTCCTGCCTGGCAACACGACATTTCACCCCTCCTCTAGCTGGAGGGTACAGAGTTTACTAGCAAAGAGTGGAGGTTCTGACATGAGACTTCCCAGGTTCTACCATTTAACCTGCTTCTCGATCTTGGTCAAGCTACTGAACTTCTTTTAGCCTCTATTTCCTCATCTGTCAAGTGGGAGTGATATTTCCTACCTGAAGATGAAATAAGATAATGCACAGAGGATACAAAATTAACCCATTAATGCTGGCTTAAATGATGGAAAAGAAAAGCACACTCTGGATGTCTCTTGCTGATAGAACAGGATAGACACTTTTGGATTTTCTCAAACATAAAAAGAGGAATGATTCAGTAATGACAAGAGAAGAGAGTTCATCTGCTGTATTTAAAATGGATAATCAACAAATACCTACTGTATAGCACAGGGAACTCTGCTCACTCTTATGTGGCAGCCTGGATATTAGGGGAATTTGGTGGGGTTGGGGGGAATGGATACATATATATGGACTGCTGAGTCCCTTCACTGTCCGCCTGAAACTATCATAACATTGTTAACTGACTACACTCCAAGATAAAATTAAAAGCAAAAAAATAAAGTGTTCATGGCTGGATGAAGCAATTCTTTTAAAAAATAAATGAGAGGAGAAAAGGAAGGATGGGGTCAAACAAGACACCATGGACAGGAGAGGTCAGAGCAAGTTAGGAATGAGGTCATGGGAAAAGTCAGAGGACACCCAGCCAGGGGAGTGGGGTGGGAGCTGGGAGGATGACTACTGGGCTTGGGAGGCACCAGCTGGTAACCCAGACACTCACAGGAGGTAAAAATACAGAAAATGAAAGTAAACTTGAGGAAATGATGGTCGAGATACAAGAGTCAAAATACCAAGTGAAAACAAAAAGAAACCAATACAAGAATAACTACAGTCAGCCCTACATCATTCCTGTCCCAACCTGAGGTCACCATCACTTAGCAACCTTCTCAGCCCTCCTCCTGAGCTACAAAATAAAACCATTTTTCATTGCCCATGCTGTAATTACCATGTTCTGGACTAATAGCAGGACCCAAAGTGGCACCTACTTAGAATCCTAACCACCCTATAGACAGACACCTTTTCCCAAACGTAAGGGTCAGAAATAAGTGGGTAAACAGGGTGCGTGGAGTTCACTCCAAAGGCTTCTATCAACACATTATTAGGTTTTATTCTCTCAAAAACACAGATGGGAAGGTACTTCAGCGGCGATCCAGTGGTTATGACACGACTTTCCAATGCAGGAGGTGCGAGTTCGATCACTGGTCAGGGAATTAAGATCCCACATGCTGAAGCATGAGGCCAAAAAGTAAAACTCACAGGATCAAAAACACAGGAAGAAGCGATCAGTGTGGGCTAGGGTGAAACACAAAAGAACAAAGGAAAAGTAATAAGCAGGCTGGGGCTCTTGGCACAGACTTGAGCTAAAGAGAATCCTGGACCTGTAAACCAAGCAAGTGATCCACCCCGGGCACCATACATCCTCATAAGGAGCCTGGGGGAAAACATGCACTCAAGGTGGCGGATGGTAGGGGAGTGGTGAGGTGTGAGTGTGTGTGCGTGCATGTGTGTAGACAGATTACAGGTAGGTGTTGTGGGGGGGGGGGGTGGCGATTACAGGCAAAAAGCACTCAGGGACACAGCAGCAAAAATGAAGACGGCTACAGTAGCTCAGCACGTACAGTCCTGGCAGGGTGATCAGGGTGGAGGGGACCACAGCTAAGAGGGGCATCGTGCAGGAATGAGAAGGCTTCCTGGAGGGCCCTTTGGTGAACAGACACTGGGGCAGGACCAGGGATTCCAGGGCTTGGGGGATCAAAGCTCCCAAAGCAACTAGCTCAAGGCCCAGCTATCCCACAGGACAGATGACTATGGACCCACTGTGCCCAGCACTTGAAGTAACCACTTCTCCCTGCTAGCAAACGGGACCGTGAGAGGTGCCATTTCAGGAACAGAGCCTAAAAGTCAGGCCTCCACTCAAGTGACTAGCACACATGCTCTCTCTGCTTGACCCTTCCAGACAAATTTAGTCTCCAACTTTGTTTTCCAGCCCTCACACTTTACACCCCACTGAGGAATTTTTTGGAACTGTGGCCCAGGGACGGCTCCTCAGGGTCAATTTTATCAGAATCTCTAGGGGTGAATACAGGCAACTGTATTTGCTTTTTAAATTGCTTTTCAGAAACAGAAGTAGACCCACAGACATAGAAAACAAACTTATGGATACTAAAGGGAAAGAGTAGGGGAGGGATAAACTAGGAGATTTGAGATTAACATACGCACACTACTGTCTTTCATGGACAGAGGAGCCTGGCGGGCTACAGTCCACGGGGTTGAGTCAAGTTGGACACAACTGAGCATCCATGCTATACTATATATAAAAGAGATAAACAGAAAGCTTCTCCTGTACAGCACAGGGAACTCTACTCAATATCTTGCAATAACTTATAAGGGAAAAGAATCTGAAAAAGAATGCATGTATGTGTGTATATGAAGTGAAGTGTTAGTCGCTCAGTCGTGTCCGACTCTTTGCAACCCCCACAGACTGTAGCCCACCAGGCTTCTCTAGAGTCCGTGGGATTCTCCAGGGAAGAATACTGGAGTGGATTGTCGTTCCCTTCTCCAATATGTATGTATATGGAAAAGTGAAACTGTTAGTCACTCAGATATGTTTGACTCTTTGCAACCGCATGGACTGTAGCCAGCTGGCTCCTCTGTCCATGGAATTCTCCAGGCAAGAATACTGGAATGGGTAGACATTCCCTTCTCCAGGGGATCTTCCTGACCCAAGGATCGAACTCAGGTCTCCCACATTGCAGGCGGATTCTTTACCATCTGAGCCACCAGGGAAGATACACACACACACACACACACACGTAAAACAGAATCCCTGTGCTGTAAGCCTGAAACTAACAACACTGTAAACCAACTATACTTCAGTAGAAAAAGAAAATCAAGCTCCCCAGGCAATTCCCTGAAGAATCTCTCAGGGCTGAGTCCCAGGCCTAGTTCAAGGGAAGGCCCTGTCCTTAGCAAGCTTCCACTGTGGGGGACAATCCAACCTTCTCTGAAGAGAAGCGAGCAGTCACCCCCCAGCTGCGGAGGAAGCAGGGGTCTAAATGTTCCCTGAGAAACCTGCAGTCACCCGTTACTCGATCAGTCTTCTCTCCCTGAGGCCTGAGAGCACCCAAGTGAGAGGCACTACTTGGGTGCTGAACCTTCCGTAGAGCATTTACAACATCCTCAAGAAGCCTCCATCTCCAAATTCCTCGGAGGGGACAGGAACAAATGTCTGCGCTGCTTCCTGACAGGGATCAGGGATGCTGCAGGACTCTCATCTTTCCCCCAGTCAGCACAGGCACACCTTGATAATGCACAAAAAGTGGATTTGGGTTTTGTTGGATTCTGTTAAGGAGACAGGTATGAGAGATGCAATGGTCTCCTTACATAATATCTTGCTTACATATCTTTAATCAAAACTACCTAGAAGTTCCTTAAGGGTGAGAACCATATTTTCATATTTCAGTATCTACAGCAGCACCTGGCAGTTTCCCCTGCATGCATCTGTAGAGTAAATGTAATCATTAACTGATTGAAGCCACAAATGGGGTCCACCCAGGAAGGTTTGACTCTCCCTGAAATGAAGTGTTAGTTGCTCAGTCATGTCCAACTCTTTGTGGCCCCATGGACTGTAGCGTGCCAGGCTCCACTGTCCACGGACTTTTCCAGGCAAGAATATTGAAGTGGGTTGCCATTTCCTTTTCCAGAGGATCTTCCCAACCCAGGGATCGAACCTGGGTGTCCTGCATTGAAGGCAGATTCTTTACCAGCTGAGCCACCTCCCTATATTAACTGATTACCTAACCACTGACTGATTTGTAAGTTCCCCCCGACAGAGTTTAAAGGGGCATCAGCCACTTACCACTGGGGATGGGAAGAGGAAAGAGACTCCTAACACTTGAGCCAAAATGCCTATGGAACAGCCCACACTGTAAAACAACTCTGAAATGTAATGAAAAAAAAATCCAAAGAAATCGATGATTTGTTCATTCATGTTGAATTTTACAGATCTGTCATCATATTTGCCTCAAAAATATACCTACAAATATGCTCTAAATGTCTTAAAAACCTATTTTCATCTTCTTTTAAATGTGTTGCAAATTCAGAAGCCAGTCATCCTTTCGTCAACACTGCTGGAAGCCTGTGTATCAGAGCTCCCCCATAGCTGAAAGCAGTTATTATTAGCTGAGCGTGTGATGCTATTTTTTTTAACATGTTATTAATAATACATTGTGTTTACACAGCAACTTTCTCCTCAGGCACTCACAGTTCTGCACATCAGCTCCTAAATGCCCTGGGGGCCACTGACCAGACCTAGGTTTTTGTTTTTCTGTTATTTCATGGACTGGAGGGGTCAGGGGTGGGGAGAGGTTTGTTTCACAAACACAAGGAGTCAAAATGGGACTGTGGAGGATTGGCAGGCTTCCCCAAGGTCACCCCAGGAATCTGAAGTCCACCCAGAAATGGAAGCCAGGTCTTCTGACGTCCTCCCAGTGGTCAGCCTCCCTGGCCACTCGAAGGCTCTGGGCATTCACGTGACATCCTCCACCACCACTCCCCTGGGACTGCAGCGATCTCCCGGAAGCAGAGAAGATTTGGGTCAGGAGCAAATGCTGCAAATGTGA